TTTTCTTGGCATCCATGGAAATTACTAAACATGACTTGTACTTTAGCGCTCCTGTTTTCCTTGTCCCTCCTACGGAAATTTCTAGATACACTGCTTGGAACACGCATCTTAAATTTTACTATTTTGGTATTAATCTTTTCGCGCATTACTTACGGCTCTCAGAGCTAATAAAAATTCCAATTCAAATGGTGTGGTATTATGACGTAATTAAATGAAACCGAGGAGACATGGGGAGCAAACTCTCACCTCCCTCATTATGCCATCTCCACTTGAGAGCAAACGGCCATATCATTTAAGTGGTCAAGTGTCGTCATCAAAAATGGCGGCGCAAATAAACAAACCAGAATTTTAAAGTTGGCATATTAATGAGGAACAGAAGAAACACTCTCACTTAGAGCAGAGTGAAACAACCCGACAAGCAAGGCCAAGATCGGCTAGATTTTTTTTTATTTTTTTAACACTAAAAACGCAAATAAAGAGACAAAGAGACAGTTTTATGTGTTCTCGTTTTCACCAGCAATCCATCATACCTAACCAGGTAAACACTTGTGTCCATGACTAAGTCCTGATATACAGCGTAATCTGTCACGCAACTTGCCCCGCAATCTTCTCGCAAACGGCGTGACAAGTCGATGAAACATCGAGCCGTGTAACACAACGCGCAACGGACAAAACGTTTGCAAAATAAGTCGTTTCAACGGTTACAGAAAGTAGAACTAAGTTCCAACTTTCTCCAACCGCTGTAGCAGCTGTTTCGCATAAATTCTGTCCGTTACACGGTATGATAAACGACCCAATGTTTCATACAACGCACTTGTCACGCCGCCATCGAAAACATCAAGAGATTAGTTGCGTAAGAGATTACACTGAATAAGAGGACCACAAACCAAGTTCTGCTTTTAAGAAAACCACTACTTAAAAAAACTGACTGCCATAAAACTCTCATTGTACTTCTATCGCGTTTTCGCTGTAGTATTTGCGAGTTGCAATCTGTACTTAGTTGCTCAAGAAGTCAACTTTCAAAGAAGTTAGCCCTTCCTTATTCACACTTTGAGAAACTGCCAAAGAACGTCCTTACGTAAGCGTGACGCAAGTCTTTGCATGTCACGCTATAATTTGGTTACAAAAATCTGCGATGAAATTTTCAGCATGTAAAAGTAAATGCTAATGTTTTAAAAACCCGCGGAACGCAACAATGACTTTTTTGCCTGATGTTGACGTCAAAAGCGTTGGTCCCGAAAAAGAAAATAATCCGGAAAAGCCATTTTCCAAACTGAGCAACTAAGCACATTTTGTGCCTCAAAAATATGGTATTAAACACAAAGACGCACTATAAACGGGATTACAAAAACAACGATAATTTAATACAACTTTGAATTGTGATAGTAAATTTCCGAATAATTTTAAGAATTTTGCAATATTTCAAGACAATT